GTGTGCATGAGGCCTTAGGACATGCAGGCATACTGCCTACACATAAGAAATTGGAGAATCAGGAGCTCTGAATTCCCTTAAAGCAAGTCCGCAAGGTGCTACAGGACTGTGAAGTATGAGGTCAATACAATGCAGGACGACGAGGACACCGAGTGGTTGGGCAGACTATCAAGAGTACCACACCATTGGGTTCTGTGTGCATGGACGTTGCCGGACCCATGGGAGTCTCTGGAAAGAGGGGAGAAAAATACCTTCTAGTGCTAGTGGACTCAATGTCAGTGTACATGGTAGTAAAACCAGCAAGAAAAGCTAATGGGAACAGTGTTGTTAGCATGCTGGAGCAAGTTTGTGGGTCGTTGGGTGTGCCAAAAAAGCTGAGAACTGATAATGGAATGCATTTCCATAATGCACAAGTTGATCACTGGTGCCAAACTTTTGGGGTGATACGTGTTTACTCACCACCCTACACAGCTCAAGCCAACAGAGTTGCCAAAAGAACCATAGGTTTGGTCAAAAATTGGATAGCTAAATATGCTAACACCAAAGAATGGAGCACTTAAACTGTAGAGACAGGGCAAGCGCCGAATGACAGGCATCGAGCTGGTAGGCCCTTCCCTACGGAGGAGCTCAATCAACGACAGTTCACCACTCAGGAAACTGGGCGGTGCTCCAGGGATGAAGAGGAACAGCCGGATCTTGACGTCTCATTCAAGGTGGGGCAGAAGGGGTGGATCAAGGCACAGGATCACACAGTGACAGTAGCAGTAAAGCCTAAATATGGCACCACAGACAGAGTAAACAAAGAGAGTTAAAAACACAGTTGAAATAGAAAAGAAAGGGATCCAAGGAATAAAGAAACTGAAGCCAATTCCTAGCTGAGTTAAAACCAGAAACCGGATTATGGCCAGTGAACCAAGCACCGTGCTTCCCTACATCAGAATGGCCACTGTATATGGGGGAGTCTAATTACAAAGGACAACTTCAGGGCTTTGGGCAGGTAGGGCTCTGAAGACATTGGAATATGCTAAAAAAGGATACATGTCAACAGAAAATGAAGCAATCAAGTGGAGTGAATTAGAGAACAGCTGTATAATTTGCTTGAAACCCAGCAGCCTTCCACTTCGCTGGGAAGGACAAGGGAGGAAGAAACCTCTTAAAGCTAAAGCAAGTATGCTTGATGTCCAAGACATGGAAGTAAAGTCTGTGAATGTGATGGATGCATTTATCTGTGGAGAATGTAAGATTGCTACTGTACCACAGATAACCATCATCACACAGTTGGAATTGTATGAGAAAGGCCCAAAGGAATGTACCTGTGAATGGGATGGGACCGCCGTCAAATACTGTGGATACTACACGATTCAAATGCAAGATGGATAGCTATTCCACTCAGAAAGAGCAGAGGGTTGGCAAATAAGAAGGTATTATGATCCCCTAAAATCCTTCAAAACTCAATTAGATGAGAAAAAGTTTGAAGCCACTAAGAGAACCCCAGTCATCCGAAGATATAACTTGGAACCAAATGTGAAACCTACAGCACTGCCTTTGTATCCTGGGCTAGGTAGAGCAGGTGAAGGGATGACAACTGCGAGAGGAGAGATGCACAAGGATCCTCGAAATTGCTCGAACAGTCAATGCAGCAGTCCTGGCCTTATAGCCCCACTATGGGCAAGAAATACTGAGAGTAAGAAATACACCCCTCTGCACTAATCAGTATCCACTGGTTTTCAGGGTGTTCCAAGACCCGATGGGAGCTAACAATGCCGAAGATGATCAGCTGCCTGACGTAGTGAAAGACGAGGCTCAAAAGGGTGGTTGGGAAGGCCCCTGGGAATTGGTGACATGGGCCCAGCTCATAGCTGAGGTAATATTAAACCAAAATCTTCCATTAGTGGACCTGCCTGACATTCCTCATGAAGAAGGAACTAGACACTCGAATTTGTACTATTGAACAACGAGTTTAGATGCATGGGCTGTGCAAGGGGCTAGGGAAAAACAAAAAACAACTGAATACCTGGTGACATCAGAGGCCTGGGAGCGACAAGGAGTGCTGCAAATCCTCGGAACTGCGGCACAGCGAGTGGACACTCCCATATGGCCTAATTCCACCCAGAGGGTTAGAGTTTCCGTGCAGATGATCGTAGTACCATATAGGGGAGTATACTCGGTTGGTGTAACACTCAATCCAATTGAGGAAGGTAAAAACGACGGAGAAAAGCCCCAATCAAGTAAAACTGAGAGAAGACGAAGTGTGCTGAACGTCTGGGCCTGCAAGATGTTTCAGAAGAAATGGATGCAAAAGGACAAGAAGGCAGAAAAATAATTACAGAACGAAGGGGCGCTAGAATAATCAATAAATTTTGCAGTAAAAAGAACTGGAAAAAAGGTAGTAAAATGATAGTGCAAATTATAAGATGCCCTAATTGGCTTTGGCAAGAAAGAGACCATATAAAACTAGTAGATAGAGTCGGGGCGTGCGCGACTTGGAAATTGACTCGAGTTCCCCACGAGGATAGCTACCAAATATTACTGGAACTAATCAACACAGACATATGGAATCTGTTAATTCAACAGCGTAGGACTGGACTATACAAGCCTGCCCTAATCGTCTCCAAGGCTCAATGGGATTAACCTGTATAAAAATTAATGTTGAATGAAAAATAAATAAATAAATAAAAAGGAAACAGAAAATGAAAGACATTTTGTTTCCTAATCATAAATAAGTGTCTTCCCTTGTTGCCAACTTTGTGGAGGTGCCCCTGATTCACCTGGAAAATAAATCTAGGTCTGAATGAGGAACATGCAAGAACACAAGGCACACATGGATCCCAGAGCTTTAAGTTGTTTTCTTTGTCAAATAGCAAATTTCAATATATTTTTATGAGTGAAATAATCAGATAAAAGAAGACAAAACAAACTTGTCCAAATGTTCATTCTGAAACTATATTTCAATGAAGACGTGTCTATAAATCATAAATATATACTAAAGCTAATAAACTACAGTATATACAAGCTAATTTTATAGCTAATTATGTTGATTATAAAAATTGCTTTAAAAACCTTAAACAAATATAAAACAAGATGAAAACACATTTATCAGACTTTTGTAACAAACAAAAAAGATTTTGACTGTAGACCAAGTCTATCATTTTAACTTTTGCTCCACTTTCAGATGGTTCTCTGCTTTTAAAAGATTTGAAGTCAGTTACAAAACAAGGTTCAGGTTTGAGAACCAAACTTTTTATGGTAATAAATTATTCTCCCCATCAGGTAGAAACACAGAACTGATCCTGAAACTCCCGGTAAGCTGGTGGATTTTCTCAGGTCAGACCTGGCGAGTGTTGGAACAATATTAGACGTCCCAACTGCTGGATTTGCACTTGTAAGGAATAAAAAAAGAGCCAAAGATGAAAATTCTGTGCAGATGGAGAAAGGCCCTGAGATGAATGAGTGAATCTGATGAAACATGGAATAGTTCAAACAAAACTTTGGGAGCCCAACCAGTCAAATCCTCCTCTGACGTCAAGCTTCTGCTCTGACATCAGTCAGATTCAAGGATTGAAGGAGTCAAGGTTTCTTTATTTGTCATACGCACCACGTGTGGTACATGTGGTGGAATGAAACTGTGTACACACATTGATGCACAATGTGTAACCAAATAATTCCTCCAAGAGCTCGGACCCCCTGCCACAAACACACACACACACACACACACACACACATACACACACACACTGCTTATAGTTGTTTGTGTGTGTGTGTGTGTTGGGGGTATTTTTTGTCTTGTTTGTTCTAAACTGCTCTTTTATTAAAATAATATAATGTGTGTGTTCTTGTAAACAGGCTTTTTGGGGACTTTGCATTGACATTCATTTTCTATAGCCTAACCCTGACCCTTACCCTAAACCTATCCATTACTAGTACTTTCAATTCAATTCAATTCAATTCAAAAATACTTTATTAATCCCAGAGGGAAATTATTTGTTGTAGTAACTCGTTATCCTCATTTCATTAAGAGATGTTATAGATGCTGATGACTGTAGACAGGAAGGATCTCTTGTAAAGGTCCATCCCACAGTGGATCCTAAGAAACTGGCTGCAGATGCCGTCCGATCCGTCCACCCAGACTCGGCTGACCTCTCAGTTCCCCCGGGCTGTAGGACCGCCTGAATGCTGGGCAGAACTCCTCCCAGAACAATGGCCACTCCTCCCAGCAGCTGCTGAGCTCCTCATCGCTGTGGACAGACAACTGTAGGTGCTGAGGGACGATCCCGTCCTTCTGCTGTCATGATCCGTGTTTCCTGCTAGTTCCAGGATCTCAGTGGTCAGGTACTCGAGCACAGCTGGCAGGTAGATGAGAATGCATCCACAGAACATCCTTTCAACTCATTTGAGATTTGGGCTGTAGTTGAGATATTTGAGCTTTTGAGATGTTAATCAGCTGCTGTTCATTGTAGAAAACTGCCTTGTTGCCATGGTTACGCATCATAACAAATGTCTAAAACTAAAAAAGTTTCAGTAAAAATCCTTCCAGCTGCACAGCATCCGATACCAGAGGAAACAATCATCCAAAAAATGTGATTTACATCCAGAAAAAGAGGAACTAAAGTTTCCAAAAGCAAAATCTCAGAATGAAAGTAGAGCTGCTCCAACATGCAGACACCTGGAGCGGTGCAATAAAATAACGTCTAACCCATCCGCAATTCACATTTTAGCCCTAAACCCCCAACGAGACCCCACGATGCATGATTTTTTTGTAAAATTGGTCCCCACAAGGCAACCTGAAACAAAAACGCATATGCACGTACACACACACACACACACACACACACACACACACACACACACACACAGAGGGCGGTGCAGCCTGTTCAGGTCTCAAATGGTCACAGGACTCTGTGGTTAATCCGACCCGGGAGTCTGATCAGGCAGCAGGAGAACCAGGAGGACCTGAGGAGCTGCATCTGGAACCCTGACAGCTGAGTGCAACATCTGGACGGGCAGCTTCATCCTGGTTCTTTGAGGACCTGAAAGAGGTCTGTTAAAGGATGTGGAACTCTGATATTGAATCACTTTATTTTCTTTATTTTTCTTGCTGCTCTCCTTTAACTCTCAGGTAAATCCGACACGCTCTGAGTTGTGTTGGTGCAAATGTGTGTGAACTGTCCCAGCAGATGAAGGAGAAGTCGAAGAACGCGGCGAAGAGCCGCAGGGAGAAGGAGAACAGAGAGTTCAGAGAACTGTCCAAGCTGCTGCCGCTGCCGGCTGCCATCACCTCCCAGCTGGACAAGGCCTCCATCATCCGGCTGAGCTGCAGCCACCTGCACATCAGAACCCTCTTCCCTCACGGTATGTTCTGCTTATTTACAACCCAGACATGGTGATTTCATCACCATGTCTGGGTTCAGACCCAAAACACAGGACAAACAGTGTTTTTAGAGTTTTTTGTTCAATGTTGCGCAAAAATAAAATCACTTTAATGAAGAGTTTCAGAATTCAAGTAAAGTTTTCCAGTGGAACCAGTAAAATACTCAACATTTTATAAATAAATGATCACTGATGTGTTAAAGTAAAGTCTCTTTCCGACTGAGCAGTAAAAACTGGATTTCTACTGAGTAGTTCAGCAGCCGAGATCTTGAATCACTGGAGGTTTTACTTCAATAAATGTCTATTTTATTTTTCAAGTTCATTTTAAGGAATTATTTTTCTTTACTTTTTGTAAGAATTTTATATTTTTAAGATGTAGCAACAATTCTTTAGAATTATAAAACCAGAAAAACCAAAACTAGCTTTAAAACCAGTCTCAGAAAAACTATCCAAGTGAATCTCATGAGCCCTAGAATAATAAAAATAATTTTATTAGTCCTGCAAATAAAAAGACGGTAAAATGTACAAGGATATGACGGAATAAACTGGTGGAGGAATAAATACAATTGTTTTTAAACAAAAAATAAAGAATACATTTTGTTTATTAGAACTGCAGTTTATATAACTTTTAAACATGAGATTAAGATTCTTATAATCAATAAGCTTAATAATTAATTATATTTAAAGTATTCATAATGCATTTTATAAAACAACAACAACAATAATAATATTATTATTAATAATAATAATAATAATGATAATAATAATAGTAGTAGCAATAATAACAACAACGATTATAAGAATAATAGTAGCAATTATAATAACAATAACGATAATAATATTAACAAAAAGAACAGCAATAATAATAATAATAGTAGTAACAATAATAACAACAACACCAATGATAATAATAATAAGAAGAATAAGAAGAATAGTAACAATAACAACAACAATAATATTAATAATATTATTGTTATTAATAATAATAATAATAATAGTAGTAGCAATAATAACAACAACGATTATAAGAATAATAGTAGCAATAATAATAACAGTAACAATAATAATATTAACAAAAACAACAGTAATAATAATAATAATAATAATAATAATAATAATAATAATAATAATAAAATGAACATCTAAATAAGTTTATTTGGCTATGTTTCGTCTCTGGAATAAAAGTCTGCTTAAAAGTCACGTTCTGGACCTGGACCTCTGGCTTTCTGACCCGTCGGGTTCATCCATCCATCCATCATCTTTAACCCGCTTCTTCCATTTTGGGTCACGGGGGTCGCTGGTGCCCGTGTCCAGCAATCACTGTGCGAGGGGCGGGGGACACCCTGGACAGGTCTACAGTCCATGACAGGGACACATAGAGACAAACGAGACAAACAACCATTCACTCTCTCACCTAGAGACAATTCAGAGTCACCAATCAGTCTAACATGAAGTTTTTGGTCTGTGGGAGGAAACCGGAGCACCCGGTGTGTTCAGCACCAGCAAATGTTACATTTCTTTTCACCTTTTTTCAAACTGACGGTAGATGTCCTGTTGGAGCAGCTGGACCTGGCTCCACGTGACTCTGCTCTGTTCTGACAGTGGAGGGCTGTGCAGTTCTGGGTCTGGTTCTGGGTCCTGCTGCAGTCAGACTTTTTAGACTGGAAGCTCCAAATGTGTAAAACAAAAAACAGCTATAAAATAAAATTAAATTCAATTAAGTATGAATAAGGGCAGCACGGTGGTGCAACTGGTAGAGCTGCTGCCTCTCAGCGAGCAGGTCCCTGGTTCAAATCCCGGTCCAGGGGCCTTTCTGGGTGGAGTTTGCATGTTCTCTCCATGCATGCGTGGGTTTTCTCCAGGTACTCCAGTTTCCTCCCACAGACCAAAAACATGCATGTTAGGCTGATTGGTGACTCTAAATCGTCTCTAGGTGAGAGAGTGAATGGTTGTTTGTCTCGTTTGTCTCTATGAGTCCCTGTGATGGACTGGAGACCTGTCCAGGGTGTACCCCGCCCCTCGCACAGTGATTGTTGGACATGGGCACCAGCGACCCCCGTGACCCAAAATGGAAGAAGTGGGTAAAGAAAATGGATGGATGAAAATGAGGGTAAGTCCAGAAGACATGGGTTGAATAATTACTGTTTTTTCTGCCAATTTATTTTTTATTTTTAGAAAAAAAAAAAAAAACAGGAAAATGAGCCCAGATTCATATATTCAAAATCAATAATGATGAAAAGTATAAATTAAATGTAATCTTACGACCAGAACTCAGTGTTCTTTTGTCTATGTTCAAACTCTTAATTTAAACTCTTAACACTCTTTCAAATAGACGCTGTGAATGTTTTTTTTAAATTTTTTTTTTAACAATTTTGAGTTTTGGTTCATTTGAGATGAAACTGGGAGAAATGATGAGCTTAAAGAAGATTAAAGATTCTGAGAGGAAACAGAAAGTAATAATAATTTTTCATTACTGTCACAGTCCACAGCGGGAAGAATCCGTGGCCTCTGGGGAATGAGCGCGCGATGATGGTGAACATGTTCACGTCTATAACATGCCACACGCAGAGCATGTGTTGAAGCACTGTCATCAAAGTGTCTGACCAACTGAGTTATGACCATTTTTATATCATCGTCTAGCTCTGGCAGCCATCTTGAATTGAACTGACTCTAAAAGTTGACGGGTTGTAGATGAACATCCAATAATTATTGTTTGAAACTTTGATTAAAATACTTCCTGGGGCTCATGGGGAATTTTTCTATCAGACACAGCTGCCTCAAAAAGTTAATGCAAAATTAAAAAAGATCTGATGGAATAATAATAATAATAATAGCAGCACGGTGGTGCAACTGTAGAGCTGCTGCCTCTCAGCGAGCAGGTCCCTGGTTCAAACCCCGGTCCAGGGGCCTTTCTGGGTGGAGTTTGCATGTTCTCTACGTGCATGCGTGGGTTTTCTCCGGGTGCTCCGGTTTTCTCCCACAGACCAAAAACAGATGGATGGAATAATAATAATAATAATAATAATAATAATAATAATAATAATAATAATAA